TTTCTTTAAAATAATTACTTTTACTTAACTTTTCTATCTTTTTTTTTTTTCTTCTTCTTTTTTTTTTTTTTTTTTTTTTTGCTACAGGGTGCATGCGCTCGCCAGGGACAGAGAGAGACAGAGAGATAGAAAGCGAGAAATCACCCCCCAGGGGGGATGGCCACGCCGCAAAACCTTCTCCTCCATTCTCCTCTTGGGATCATGGGCACACATGCACACGTGCCCGGCGTGAGTTTTAAGCCACCGGGTCCGAGGCTCGAACTGCGGTCGACTACATGAGAATCCAGCAACATAGCCATTACGCCAACTGCTGGTCCCAGAGACATGACTTTTTTTGCAGACAGACAAAATGTACAGCACCAGCAGTATCCTGTACTGAGAAATTCAGTTTACTTCAATTCACTGGATCTTTAGGGCCTGTGTTGCAGTTGAAGTGATTTAGGGGAACTTTCCTTAGCCTTGATGTTATAATAACACTATCAGATTCATAAGAATGGGTAAAAGTGGCAGAGCTATTAAACATTCCCTTTCCACCCCTGAAGGTATGATGATGTATTGAGGGAACAGTTTTTTAAATGTCTCTTCTGATGGGGTAACAGTTAGATGAAACCATGTTAAAACTGAGGTGAACAATGAGAATTCAGGGATATTGGTTCTTTATCCTTGTCAATGAGCTGGTTATTTAACTTGTATAATTTGCCACATATTAGCACTCGGTTAATGAGGACTTTAATTTATTAATCACTACAGATTTTATGAACAGCTAGCTGTGAGTATGGTAAACAGATTATTATGCCTCTTTGCAAATCTGAGTATGATTCTAGTATGTATGTGGTACTTAAAAAATTTTTTTTTGTGAATTCCAACACTTATGTATAGAGCAAAGAAATCCAATTGTATCATTTTAAATGCCATTAAATAGAAAGCATGCTGTGGTTTTTTAGTTGTAGGTCTGCTTTCCTTTAATTCTCATTCTTTTCATCCTTTGGATGTAGCTGGGTCACCATCATTCCAAAATAATAATGAGTAGAATTTTGGAAGTTATAGGTTGAGTATTCCTTGTCCAAAATGCTTGATACCAGCAGTATTTTGGATTTCAAATTGTGTAGCATTTTGGGATATTTGCATATACATGATGAGTTATCTTAGGGATAGAACTCAAGTCTAAAAATGAAATTCACTTATATTTCATATATACCTTCTATTTCTTCTTTTGGGCATCCCTCATTAATTGGGTTCAGGCATTCAGAAAATGTCTTGTTCACTTTTTCAGTAGTCTTTATTCATTTTCTTCTGCCATGGTAGTCCAGAAGGACCCAATTGGTTTTTTATTTTGTCCTTCAGGCCCAGGCTGGGTAACTACTGAATTAAATGGCCTTTTCAGCATTCTTTCTTTGCTAGCTTACCCTAGACAAGCTTTTCTCTCTTTCATAGTTTCCTTAGGTTGAGCTGATCTAGTTGCTTTTGCTGTAGTGTGTGTTCACTGCTCAATGGATTTTGACTTTTTTATTAGTTTGGTTTTAGAAGATGAAGCAGGCCTGGCTATAATTTCAGATGTTATGCTTATCGATAGTGACTTAATTCTTTTTATGTTCTCAGATGAACTGGTTTTGACACTAGACAAAAGTGCTTTTGATTGTAATAATTCTTTTTCACAAGGCCCTGTCTGAATTGTAACATTGATGTAACATTGATTCTACTGATGCCGTATTTCACTGTGTTCTGGGTATTATTGTGGGGACTTTTTTTTTCTTAAGAGAGCTTTATTTTATTTGCTATAAGGCACGTGTGCTCACCAGAGAGACAGAGAAATGAAGTGAGAAACCACCCCCAGGGGGGGATGACCACGTTGCAGTCTTTTCTCTTCCATTCTCCTCTCAGGATTTTGAGCAAGCATGTGCATGCATCTGGCATGAGTTTCAAGCTGTCTGGTCCAGGACTTGAACCATGGTCTATTATGTGGGAGTCTAGCAATGTAACCATTATGCCATCAGCTGATCTCACTACTGTGGTGACTTTTTTTTTTTTTGAAAGGCTTTTGCTATAGGGTGTGTACATTTGCCAGAAAGAAAGAAACAGACAGAAAGTGAGAAATCACCCCTTGAGGGGGATGGCCATTCCACAATCCCTTCTCCATTGTCCGCTTGGGAGCGTGGGCACGCACGCACGCACGCACGCACGCACGCACACACCCCCAGTGTGAGTTTAAGCCACCAGATCTAGGACTCAAACCGCTGTCGACTACATGGGAGTCCAGCGACATAGCCATTACACCAACTGCTGGTCCCCTTTGGTGACTTCTAATAGGAGGTCACATAAGTTGTGTTCTGAGATGCAGTGTTCACAGGTTTAGTGGTAGTCATATTTGAGGGTCTGTCACTTCACTGTCAGTGCTGTTGTTTATAGACTGGGGCTTTATGGCTTTAGATACAGTAGTTGAAAGTTTGTTGTTGCAGAGCTCTCATCTTTTTTTTCTTCTTCTTTTTTTTTTTTAATAGGGCATGTACATTTGCCAGAGAGACAGAAAGCGAGAAATCATCCCTTGGGGAATGGCCATGTCGCAATTCCGCCTCCATTCTCATCTCAGAATTTTGGGCACACACACACACATACCTGGCATGAGTTTCAAGCTGCCAAGTGTGGGACCCAAATCATTTTCAGCTATGTGGGAATCCAGCACTTTAATCACTATGCCATCTGCTGGCCCAGAGCTCTCTTTTTTGACTTGTAGAGGTTTTCTAAGTGAATTAACCTCAGACTGCACAATTTGGTTATGATAAGATCCAAGGATAGGTTTCTTGGGCATGTTAGCATCTTTGTTTTTTTGTTTTTTATTTATTTATTTATTTTTCCTGTAGCCATTTGTTTCTTTTTTTTTTTTTTTTTTTGGAGAGGTTTTAGCTTTAGGGCCTGTGCGCTGGCCAGAAAGACAAAGACAGAGACAGAGAGACAGAAAGTGAGAAATTACCCCCCAGGGGAGGATGGCCATGCCACAATCCCTTCTCCATTCTCCTCTTGGGATTTTTGGGCACGCACGCACATGCACCTGGCATGAGTTTAGGCCACCAGGTCCGGAACTCAAACTGCGGTCGGCTACATGGGAGTCTAGCGACATAGCCATTACGCTAACTACTGGTCCCTGTTTCTTTTTATTATTAGTCCTAAGGTGAAATGCCTGGCTTAATGTTATACAGTAATTGGGGTGGGGAGAGATCATCTTTAATTGGTAACAACTGTAGAGTTTGTTTGATTAGCATCTTCAAAATGATATATATTTGGTGTAGTTGAATTGGTTAACTCATGAGAAGGTTTTAAGGGAATACTTTTTTTTCCCCCCATTGTTGCATTCTTTTTGCTCCCTGTAGGTTTACCGGCATTTTCTTTATCAGCCACTTTTGTTTTATGTTTCTGAACTTTTTCCCCTTCTTCAACCTGGACCTCAGGTGTCATCACTCTCTGGCCTCTACTTCACCTGTCTTTGATGGCTGTAATGGCAGACCTCTATAGATTTCAGCACAGGTCCTTATCACTCTTACATGCAAACAGCCTGGATAATACCTGATTTTCTTGTTTGTGTGCAAAAAGTGTTTTTCTTAACACATGTTCCTTGAGGTTTTGTTTTGTTTTGTTTTGCTTTCTGAATGCAGACTGGGTCCTTTGGCTCAAGGTCAGCTGCAGGTCCAGGAACAGGGTCAAAGTGTTCATTGCAGTCTGGGTCGGGATTGTGTCTTGCATGAGGGTGCTTTTGACTCCTTCAGCCTGCCTCTGTTCTCTGCCAAAAAATATTTTAAAACTTGACTTTTGAACCATTTTGGATTTTTGGATTAGGGATGCTCAACCTATAATTAATTTTCCTACCCCTTTGTTAGTTTCAGTCCCCTGTTTTATTAAACTTTTGTTCAGAGGATCAAGAATTCCATCATCCCCTTGGTCTTTGTATAAACAATGTTAAAGAAAAGTAGACTCGGCCATTAAGATACTAGACAGTTTGTAGTCCATGGGATTGTAAATATATAAACATCAAGCTTTCCTACAAGAAGTTTTGGGTTTAATAATCTGTAGCCTCAGATGAGTACTTGTTATAGGCTCACAAGGTAAAATAAACAGTTGGTTTTTTTGCTGTCTTTTTTTCCTTGATGTTTCAGATTTGCTCTCAGTAGCTATTTTCAAAGCTATCAAAGGAAAGCAAGTATTTACAGTTCTTTTAAGTCACTTTTGAGCACTCATCAGACTAACATTGTGAGGGGCAGGGGGTATCGTTTTTTTTATTGTTAAAAGCCTATTAACGTTAAAGGCCTTTTACAGAATCCAGCCCGGAAGACAACCTTAAATGTGGAATGATGCACTAAGATTTGGGTTTATCCAGCCATGGGAAAAAATAAAAATTGATCCTGAGTTTACCTACATATGTACACCATAATGGATCATATGTTTGCTGTCAACTACAATGTAAAACCTCAATAAAAGTGCACTGTATTTCTTGATGTTTATTAAAAGATGTATTTTTACAAGTTTCTGCTTCTGTTCTTTTCCTCAGTACTTTAGGTGAAGTATTTTGAAGT